GACAGAGAACTTAACTTGCTGAAAATTGAAGATAAGTTCCCAATTTTTATCATCGATGACTAACTTGATGAATTACATAGTGCTTCCATCTTTTGAAAAATTGATATAAGAGTAGGATATCATCAAATTCATATAGAGTTCTTAAGACATTCTTTCAAACTCGTCATGACCACTATGAGTTAAGAGTAACGTCCTTTGGTTTAACTCATGCTCCGACCACTTTCTAGACCCTCATGAATCACATCTTCAAAAAGTGTTTCAAGAAGTTTGATCTTTTCTTCTTTGATGACATACTCATCTACAGCTCAAATAAATAAGAACATTTGAATCAACTTGAACAGGTATTGCAATTGCTATGGCAACATAAATTATAATAAAAAAAAGTCTAAATGTTGTTTTCTACAAGCCCAAAATAGAATATTTAGTACATATTATTTCATAAAGTAGAATGCAAACAACCTCCAAGAAAATTGAGGCTATGGTAAATCGACCTAGCCCACTAACTCTCAAGGCTCTCAGGGAATTTCTGGACCTTACTGCTATTATCGAAAATTCATTCCACCAAAGTTAATTTATGCATGATGCTCATGATAAGAGATTATCTTTTTTATGGGCTACATTGCTTCTAGTTTCACAGAAGGGGCTTGATCCTAAAACAATTACTATGGTTAATTTGGACTTTATTTTTTTTAAACATGCAGCGCAAAACTCCATGTTTATAATGTATTGCGAGTAAGCATGAGACTTCGCAATGCATACGTGGCACACCGGTAGGATGGGCTGTCATTTTCTATTATCTTTGTTAAATCTCAAAATTTTAACTCACTAACCTTTTATTCTGAGCATGCTAATGAACTGATGAACAGATCTAGTACCACCAATCAAATTACTAGGACTCTAATCCATCTACTAAAGAATTGCAAGAAATGTTAGGAGGTACAACTGAAAGGTAACTACCTAGAACAGCTTAAATGGTTAAACATATAGCTCCCACAACCTTCAATAGTCCAATATTCATCATTTCTCAAGCTGAGAGTCCCCAACTAAAAGTAATGCACACATGTGAGAATATGAGTAATTATATATTAAGTGGAGCATATATGCATGCAGTTTTCACTTAATAATACATAACATTTGGGTCATTTTCATCATTGTAATAACGGGGTTGAGGAGGTTCTGGTGCATTAAAAGTCTCAATGAACTGATAATGTCCTAGAAGAAGCCAGACATGCGAAAGAAGTTCTCCACCTTTAATCAGTTGCTGCAAATGCTGGGTTCCTCTGCAATTGATTGCCGCATATGCTAGTAGTTCGGCCCATACTTGGCGAATTGTTTCCCACTTCACCCGCAAAGACTCTGCGAACTGTCAAATACAACCTCAGTGTGCATCAACAGAGATACCACTTAACAAAATAATAATAATAAAATTAATTACCTCTTCATCTGTCAATTTAGTTGCATTTGTAAACTGCAAAATCCAAGTTCTAGAAGTATTGGTTATTGCAACCTCTTTGGCTTAACTTAGAAAAGGCAAAGCAAAAAAAAGAAGATGGTCATCACCTGTTCATGGGCAACCTCTTCACCTGAATTCCTACTTCTTTCGATATATTTCATACTTGAGCCTCTTAATTGTTGTGTGAGTAGAACGGAATGGTTTAACAGAGATTTTGGTGTGTGAGTAAACCCCAGTTCTCCTGTTAACAACTGTTTGCTGAACTGTCTTCTCTTTCCTCTCTTGGTTGGGTCAATTTCTCCTTTCTGGGTCTTGAAGTAATTTTCAAGAAACTCTTTGGCAAGATCACACGTCTCTTGCAAGTTGATGGAACCAGATGCAGGAAACATTTGTGGCTTCACTCTAAAGAGATACATCATGTATCTTGAAATACACTTGCCAATTTTCCATCTATGAAGAATATCTTCAGGGATGTTATTTGATGCAGGGTTGGTAAAGAAACTGCGATCCAAAGCATAGGAGAATTCTGTAGCAATGTGCCAGCTGATAACACTTTGCTCAAAAAGTAAATCAGTAGTACTCCATCTTACTATTGCATCAGGAAGGAGCTTTTTCAGAGCAAATGACCCTCTACTACTGCTCAGACTAATGGATTTTTTTGTTTGATCATAATACATGTCTCTGAAGTGTTGGAAGATCCACTTCTTGAAGTCATCAGTGACTGGTTTCTCAATGGTATACTTGGAATTTTCAAGCATATCTTCAACCCTTAAAAGCCTCAGGATTTTCCGGAACCTAATTGGTTTTTCTCTGAGGAGAAAACTTAATAGATTGTACTGAGGCATTGCATTTGACCATCTGCATTCAGGAGTTATGGAAAGCAAAAAGGAGCTTATGACTCGAGCTGGGGAACTTCGGTTACGTTTAATCAACCAAGTAATTGCCTGGTCTGAGCAAAGTTGCAGCACTGCAGCATATATTTCCAGAAAAATTGCAGCACCGAGAAGGATATAAGTGATGGAAAGATCAATCTTAGAGTATCTATGATGAGGAAAAAGAGAGAACAGTACTAAGGAAGTGCACATGAGTGAGAAGCTGAGAATACGCAGGAAAATACCCCAGGGAGAACGAAGTAAAATTGTCTTGGTGTGAAGAATATCATACATGAAACCAAGCTCAATTTCAATCACCCTGAATGCATTTTCAAAGGGAATGTGCAAAAACAAGCCTACATTTATAGCCTGATCACACATGCTGTGAGTACCCTCTGTAACAAGACGCATGCTTGTCCTAAAAACCTCAAGGGCCAGGAATAATTCATTTCCTTTTGAAATGGTTATTTGTTCAGGTCCTTCCACATCATTGTTAAATCCTAATTTTCCTTTAGCTTTATAAAACCCAGTTGTGAACTTCTCTGTAAATTCTTCATCAAGGTGTCGAGGAGGCACATATTCCTTGAGTTGCTCATTGCTAGCTTTCCTGAGAACCCAAATCCTTTCACCATACTTGATTACTGCTGCCAGAATCACGAGCGCAGTGACAAGGGTAAGGTGAGAGCCTGTTGTCCAAACCATGAAGATGACAGAAAGTGCTGTTCCTGTTTGGACAACAAGATCAAGCAAGCGTCTGAGCCACAACTCATTGTCTTCTAAGGAATAGGAAGTGATAGTATCAGGACCACCCAAGTGCAACAAAAGAAAAGGTGCCCAGAACGATGTAACCTCAACTTTGGACTTGACATGCTTGACATCTTTAACCATATCCCCAATGTTTCTTGACAGTAATCCAAGAGTGAAAGTGGCAATAGAATCCGCCACTAAATATGTAAACCAAACAACAATTATAATAAAAGATCCTCGGTTGTATTTCCTGCGGTTGCCCAGAATGATCAGTACTAGTTGGAGTATGAGACTGAGCAGAAGAAGCGCTCGCACCTCCCATTCTTCCTGCAGATGCTTTAGATTAGGAATTATTTCCGCTGTCCTTCTCTTGTTTAACAGGATCAAACTGCTAACAACTGAACAAAATTCATTTTAATGTCATACCCATGATAAAAAAAAGCAAAGAATTTGCCAGTAATTCATTACAAAAACTCAGTAATGCTGCATCTCATGGGCTCTCCCCACATGAAAAGAAAAAACATTCTGAACAAGGAAAAAACCTTCCCTACCCACCTGCAATATTAAAGTTTAACAAAATTTTCTGATGATTTAGTTACTTATTAATTAAGCATACTGGAAAGTACATGATTATTGAGTCAGCTGTTTATTTAACAAATTTGCTTTTTGATCCTTGTTAGGTACTACCTGATCATCATAGAGTTAGACGTGCATATATATCCTGCGATAGGAACCTATAGAGGTGTTAGAATCATCTAAAAAATGCCTGTTTAGATATTGTGAGTTATATATCACCAGGATTCATACCAGAATGATCACCAACCCTGCTGTCTGGTGTGAGAAAATTTGATTTGAAGTGTGCAGGTTGTGAATTTCTGGGATGGGTTTTGGCTAAACTTTTGGTACCAGAATTATCTTTCCTGGCCACCATTTGACCCAGTTCTTAATTAAATCTAGTAATTCTTCCAACAAGTTTTAAAATAATGCCTATCTTGTGTTTTAACTCATATTGGATTAAAAGATATCGTGCTGTAAATTCAGGAGTTTGATCATTGTAATCTGAAAATTTTTCAGAACTAATAACATATCTTAATCTCCTTTCGGGAAAAGTGTAGTTCCCTCCCGATCTTCCTCAATGAATTTGGATTTATTTCTCTCAGTGGTTTTTTTTTAAAAAAAAAAAAAAAAAAAATCTTCTAACTATTTTTCATAATTTTTCAAAATCAATATTTTTTTGAAAATTTGTGAATCATGCAGAGTACTTGTCATGGGTAAGAGTTTCTTTTTTAATGTGTTTGAGTAAATTATAAAAATATTACTTTTGAGAAAATTGTGAGACCTCCATGAATATTATTAATTCACTACCACCTAAAGAATTTGGGGTGGTGAATTAGAGTAAATAACATGAGTAACTATAAATTTTGATAAATAAAAAGTTAAATGTAATTTTAGGTAATAAATGAGTATTTTTCAATTGCTTCATTTAATTTTGTGGTGTTTGTGAGTGAAGTGAGTAATTCATGCTCTTTAGTTATATTTCAAAAGATCTAATATAAGAATACTTTATATGTATATATATATATAATATTGAGTTTTGTTATTAATTATATCAATATATATGTAGCATTTTTAAGGGATTATCTGAAATGTGCTTAATTTATTAAATAGAATTTTAAAATATAAAAGATAATTTATCTATATTAAACTATTTTTGGAATCAAACATACCATAATTATGTGGATTATATTACGTTTTATATTTTACTAACTTGATAAGATTACGATTATTTTTAAATAAGTGGCTGAAATTATTCTATAAATAGTAATATATTATAAACTTTTACTATTTAAGTTATTAAAGTTAGACACTTTGGCATTACATAGATATTTTTTATCAGATAAGTTTTTTTTTTTTTTAGTGCAAATATCAAGATATTTGTTTTATTTAGTCAAAAATAATATTTATCTTATTTAAAAAGTAAGAAATAATAGATTTATCTAAATTTCATTTTCAATGCAAAAAATGTTATATCTTTTAATTGATGATAATTAAGAAAAAAAGTATAGTAAACCGTACATGATAAGATATTAATATATATTAAACTATTTTTTGAAAGTTAAGTGTGTGTGTATATATATATGTGTGTGTGTGTGTGTATGATTTCATATTTAAAAATTTCTAATAATTTACAGAAGGAATTAGGAACTTCAATCACTTTTATTATACTAATTAATTCATTCTCATTCACAAACACTCAGCATGAGATATATAATAAATCTTAAATAGATATTGTGATGTTCTATCATGAATTTGAGTTTAACAACTATTTTATGATGATGTTCAAGTGATTTTTATGAGATTTTCTAAGTGGACTGTAAGTCATTTATTTTGAAGTTATATTGAAGAAAGAAACATAAATTTAAAAAGAACTCTGTGGAAAAGTGAACCTTTCATTTAACCTTAAATTAGAAGAAACTAAGATAGATATACAAAAATTTTAATTTCAAATTTATTAGAGAAGGTCAATGGTAAGTATGTTATCTGAAACATATATGAACTGAGAATATATATATATATATATATATATATATATGTAAGTACCTGTTGCTGTCGGTAGCATCTTACTCTGGCTTCCCTTCAGTGCTCCCTCTCAACTTGTGTTTGAGAAAGAGAAACAGGGTAAGAAGGCATACAATAAACAAAGATCTTTTCTTTCTTTTGAATAATGAGAAGATCCTTCAGTTTTAAGCATATCACAACTTTTTTAATATTTACAGTAAATAAATTGAAACCCAAAAAAAAAAATAATAATAACAATAATAATAATTGGATTTTAGTAGGAGTGAGCAGTGAATTCATCTCTGGCATGATTATTTTTGCCTTCCTAATTGTCCTTATTTTACTCTCTCACTACTTTTCACCCTCTCTACTCTCATGTATTCTCTCATTAATCATTTGAAAAGAAAAAGATAGTTTAGAAGGATATATAAATTTTACTACTGATATTTATTTTACATATTAAATAATAAGTTAAAGAATTTTAGTTATTTTTAGTTATTAAAAATCTTATATAGATATGGTAGGTTCCATGCTATGATCCTATGGTGTATATATATGTATGTATGTAAGTGGGTAGAGCAACATGGTAAGACTCAAAGACCCTATCCATTTTTCTGGGATATAAATTGCAGAAAACAACCCTACACAAATATGTACATAAACAAGGAAAAGCTAGAAATAGATTTTTGCTCCAAAAAGAAAAGAATGAATGAATCAGGTAAGGTAATTACATACTTGATTCTGATAATGACAATCATTGAATCCTCTTCAAGGTGCCTTCACTTCAGTTTATAGTATTATAATGTGAAGGGTATTTCTCTCTCTCTCTCTCTCTCTCAAGTTTTTGCAGGTCGATGAAGAAAGGTTTCTGGTTCTGCAGATTTTATAATATTTTCTCCATTCTGTTTCTCGCCAGTTGAGTCTAAAAAGAAACAGGTTGTAATTTCTTCTAAAACAAAAACCAGATATTATAAAAATGGAGAATAAAAACAGAACATCTTGCTAGGGAGGCAAGTTATGATTCCATTTTCATGAAACTCATTTTATATACCTTACATCTTTCCCTTCTTATGTTTCTACTGACTGAAGCCTCAAGGGACGATTTATGGTTAAAATTATTTCTATGCAACTTCCAGATGTAATCCTTTCGAGGAATTATTTTCACGCATGGAGCAATGTAAACTTATTTTTTTGGGCAATAATTATAAAAAACAACAATAACAATAATAATAATAATAATAATTAAAGATTGTAAAGAATATTTCTTCAACTTTTTATAAAAATACAAATCTACCATTAAAAAAGAATTAGCATAGCCAATACCTATCATAATGTTACACCATCAACAAAATGGATCTAAAAGATATTAGTGTCTTGAGGATGTTAAGAACTTCATTCTTCTTTCATGTTCAGTTTCCTCAGCTTTTTCCAAGCTTAGATTTACAGCCATTCGTGCTTCAAACGGACCTTTGTATCAGCAACAAGCTTAAGCCGGATTCTTGGGCTTCTCCCTCTTGAATTCACTGTAGTCTGCAAGCAAGCTACTGTTAACTTTTTGCTTCATGTTTTCCACCAATCTCGTTAGCACCTGTTTACAGAACATACATCTTAAACTGAATGGTTAGACTATATACTCTATAAGTAACACTATCCTAAGTTTAATAATGTCTAATGACTTTTATGTTCTAACCGAGTCAACCACACTTTGGCGAAGATCTTCAGGAATCAAAGCAAGAACAGGAGGAAGAACAAAGTTTATTTCCATTTCTAATTGTCCTTTAAGGCGGCTGTAACGTCCATGCCTTTCTGGGTACAATGCTCCTTTTACTCCAAGCGAGAATTGAGAGGGTTCCATAACACTATCCAGTCCTTGGAGCTCCCATCTTGTCTACAAAAGGATGGCTTTCATGCTACAAAACTTTCCACAAATAGCTAGCTCGAGAACCTTTCTAGTACTAGTAGTAAGTTTCTTTCATATTACTCACAATATCTAGCTCAAGAACCTTTGTGATATCTTGAGGTACACCTGGTGGGTAATCTTCCCCTCTTGACTTGCATTTCAACTTCATGTCTACCACTGGCCAGACAGTCAGGAACAGAAATTGTATCGGTAACATCTGAATTCTCCACAGTTCCTTCATAAATTACCATCCAAAATATTAAAAAGAGGCGAGAGAAAGAAAAACACAGAAAAATAGAACGATACTCATTGCATATATGCTAAAAAAGAGGATTTCTATAAGGCACAAACAGAGTATGGTCAAGATACATCATAACTAATTTCTCCAAGAGTTCATACAGAAAAGGATATTGTGCTTCTTTTATCCCTCTTACTTCCACACCATTGTTAAGGCTAATAGTATATCATGCTTTTTGTTCCCACTTACTCCCACACCATCATTGAGGCTCATAGTTCTCGATGGTAGAGCATGTACCATTTATTTAATCAATCTCCATGGTATGCCACGATGTACAGTGTACCAACAAACTATAAGCTATGGCTAAATTTGTTTTTCAAACATGTTTGTTTTCAAAGAATCAGCTTATTTCCAATGAAATAAGAGTTATTTTTTTTATCCATATTTAATTTTCTGAGTTCTAGATTGAGAATAAGAGACTCTATACATAAAGGTGGGAAGCAAATTGCCCATCCCTAATACTACATTTGGACTGAGAGAAGTTGAGGGGAAAAGAAACAAAAGAATGCCCCTCCCTCCTTTTCTTTATTTGGATAAAAATTGTCCATCCTCTCTTTCTCTTATAACTAATTTTTTGTTTCTCCAGATTGGGAAAATTTAAGGAAAGAAAAGGATTTTAAAATTCTTTTAAAAAAATTCTATTTTATTCTAACTATGTAAATTATCATTCTGTTAATAAATGATATCATTGATTTTTTTATAACTAAGCATTCCCTCATTCTATTAATAAAATGGTTTCCTTTTTTGAAATACTATCAAAAAATTGGAATTATTAATTATTTTCTAGTACCTAAACCTTTCATTTTCTTTTTAACATTAAACATAAATACTTCTTCAAATTGTAGCTATCCAAACAAGGAAAATACATTTCCTTTCTTCTTTTAGAAACCACTTTTTTCTTTCAGCTCCTTTCCTCTCTGTTCCAAAAAAAATGTGAAGGTGGATGTATTGTAATAATACTTTCAATAAGAAAAACTTAAAAGGCAAATATACCAAAATTTCAATGTAATTTTTCTTTCTAAATAACTCTTTGGTAATGTCCCTGAAAAAATAATTTCTGGACAAATGAAAATATATCAACTGAATATATTCACACTCTCAATATCTGCACAGGCAAACAAAATAATACCCCTTAATCATATTTCTAATCTATAACTCTCTTGATTCCTAATAATATTTCATAAGGAGAACCAAACGGACCCCTTACTGTAACTACATTTTGCAGGGCACTAGAGAAAATTCACAAAAGGGCTTCTTTCTCTCAACTCAACAACACTGCATGATTGTCCTCCACAGATTCATGATACTTATCCCCTATAAAATCTATGGTGTTTGCAGTAGAAAATCCACATTTATTTCTCATATATAAACCAAAAAGAATAAATATTAAATAAGCAATACCATTATCAGATATAACCAAACTCTGTTTGATTCACGCAATAACCAAAAGGAATGTAAGACCCAATTACTACCTCGCTCAGCTGTTGACTTCTTCTTTTATCAGGGAAGATTGCTTTGAAAACTCTTGACTTATCCTTCAAATACTCGTCCAATGAAGCCTGCAAAAAAAATTCCACCCACAATCAACTCCGCCACACAGAAACAGAACACACTGGGGAAAGAAACAAGGAAATGGGTACCCCTGGCGCCTCGTAGAGAGGAATATCAGTGGCGATTCTTGAAGAATAGGTTGCAGGTTTCACTGACATTTGATTGTTGATGACAAGTACTGGCTGTGATTTACGTTGTTGCCGCTCTTGTTTCTGCAGCTTCTCGCTCCATTTGACTCTGCTGAATAATGCAATGGTTTGGCATGGAGCAAGGGAAGCTGCTACTGCAACATCACCCATTTTTTACCCTAATTTTCTTTTGTTTTTAATCGTTATAGAAATTTTTTCCGGATAGGAGAAGAATAGGAAGAGGAAAGTAAGACCGAGGGCTTTTGTCCCAAAAGGAAAATAGGAGTTTGTGGTTGATTGATGAATTGAAAGCTGATGACAGTCAAATATAATTGATGTGGAGGCCGCTGACGTGTCAAATCTAATTGACATGGATGCTGCTGACGTTTCAAATTTAATGACGTGGAGGCTGCTGACGTGTTTGTATTCTACCGTTTAATTACTTGGCCGGCCAGCTTTGCCAATTACCAGTAAGAGTTTTTTTCTTTAAAAAAATAAATTTAAAAAAAATTTAAAAAAAAAAAAACAGATCTCATTTCCTCTGGAGAATCTGAAATTGGAGGCGTTCTCTCATAATCTGGACATTGTGATTTCCTAATCTGGGAAAGAAAAGATGTCGAGATTAAATATTTTTATGATCGTAATGGTAGGACTAATGTCAAGGATGGGAGAATCGATGAGGTTTGATATGAAATCAGGCGCCACAAAATGCATATCAGAGGATATAAAGATCAACGCTATGACTGTCGGCAAGTACAGCATCGTCAATACGAATGAGGGTTACCCTTTGCCTGATTCCCACAAGCTCACTGTTAGGGTAACCCCCAAATTTCCATTTTCCTTCTCACGACAACTTGTGTTTATGTTTTCATTTATGCGAGAAGTAATCGATGGTCTTATATCTGTTGAGTTTCTTTCCTTTCTTGAGGTTAATCTGGTAGGTTGATGTCTGAATTAGTTTGAACCTTTGGAGGTGAAACGATAATTTGAAGAGAAAAGGACTGATAATCTTCAAATCCTTTTCATTACCGTTATATAATCCTAATAATATTCTTAGAAGAGCAATCTTTTTTAGGGTTTTCTAACTCTGTGAACTTTGGGCATTTTGTGTGATTTTCCTGCGGGAAAATGTGCAGGTGGGTGTTGGGGTGAGGAAGGGAACTTATTCTGCCATATTGTTGTTCAAATATATTTGTGTATATATATATATATATATATATATATATATTATATATGTCATTTATGTAAGGTATAAAGAAAAGGCATTGACAAGAACTGTGCATGAGAATCTTGGAGATCAAATAGCGTATGTGTTTTAAAGTTATGGGAGAAAAGAGAAAATTGAGGTAAAGAGAAGGGAGAGAACTAAAGGTAATTTAGTTCTTATAGGAAATTTTTAGTTTGTTCGGATTGAGCTCGTTTATTTTAATTCTGATGTTGTTGTGAAGAACAAATAATTCCAATTCCTTCCCGTCTGGTCCCCTATAGTTTGTCGGGAGGTGCACTTTGTCCTCCAATATGGTTGCTAATTTCATTGTACAATGATATTTTTGAGGCTTGGTTTGGGTACTTGTTTTATTGAAAATGGCGTTTGATGTTGGTATAGGTGAATTCACCTCATGGGAACAATTATCACTACGGGGATCTTGTGCAATCTGGGAATTTTGCATTTACTGCTGCTGAGGATGGGGATTATACCGCTTGCTTTTGGGTACCTGACCACCAGCCAGCAGAAACATTAACTGTTGAGTTTGAGTGGAAAAGTGGTGTTGCTGCTAAGGATTGGTCTAAGGTTGCTAAGAAAGGTCAGGTTGAAGTAAGTACCACTAATTCCTTTTGCCCCTTTAATTTTTGCTCCTTTTGCTTGTATATGCTCTGGCAGGTCAATTATGTCTCACTCTGCATTCATAAATGTCAAGTAGATAATAGCTTGTTTCCAATAAAAACTTTTCACCATCGGTTGTGCTCTTATATATGTAAATAATATACCAGATCTCTTGATGATTACCTATGCCAACATGCTAAGCTTTGTTGTTTATGTATCTGGTTGCAATTACTTAGACTAATTGTGGTTCTTCTAGAGATTGTTTGATTCTTTTTTTTTTCTTTTGCTTTAGATTGATGTTCTGATAAACATTTTGAAGCAAATGATCTTTTGGTTTAAAAAAAAAAAAGCAAGAGAACTACAGTAAGATAAAGCACCATTCTTTAACATATAAATCATTATGATTTTAGGTGCAAACAGCTTCTTTCTAGGATTTTTCTTTCCTCGAATTATTTTGAATTCCCTATGTTTCACTAATTATGGTTAAACAGTCTTTTTATCTCGAAGAAACAAAAAAAAATAAAAAACTAATTTTGTTTAAACAGAACTTGAAGAATGGCTCAAGTATCCATTAAAAAGAAGGCATTGATACCATTGGAGTATGTCTTTGTATCAAGGAAAATTGCTTTTCTTTGGCTCTTTTCAATTTAATAGAATAATCTCAAATGTTAAAAGAATTTTTTTTGCGAATCTTACATCCTTTCTGTTAGTGTCGTAATACTGGATATAATTTTGCGACAACATGAATACTGTATATTTCCATGCTAAGAAGCTTATGTTCTTAAATTTTCAATCTATTACTCTTTGATCTGGTAGAACATTTGATTATGCCAGTTGATGGAACTCGAGTTAAAGAAGCTGTATGACATGGTCACGTCCATTCATGAGGAGATGTTTTATCTTCGAGAGAGGTACTTTCGCTCTGTGTAATGTCTTTCTTGCTTTTTCTTTATTTTCTCCATGCATGCAAGTTTTCTGTATCTATATTTGAACTTTGATCTAAAAGTTATATGTTAAGTAAGTATTTTCCTTTGCGAAATGATTTTCCGAAAAAAACTTGGAGCTTGCAAGTTTAACATTTTTCACATTTACATTCTTTGTTCTCTTATTCTTGTTTTAGGGAGGCGGAAATGCAATTACTCAATCGATCTACCAATTCAAAAATGGGCAGTTTTAGTTTATTCTCAATCTTGATTTGCTTATCCGTTGCCAGTTTGCAATTATGGCATCTGAAGACATTCTTCGAGAGGAAAAAGCTCCTGTAAAATTGCTCTTATTCTCACTAATCTACTTTTCGACTCCAACTTTTGTTGTTTATTAGTAAATGCCTACCAATTGTATGTATCTCCATTTTAAATTTTTTTCATTTTGTAGAGGCTGTTGCCTTCTCTTTCCTATCTACTTGCAGCCAAGTTGAAGAATCTTCACTCCTACTCCTATATCGTTTTTGCTGCCTATGGGAGAACCGGTTCTTTTTAACTTTTCATCCAGGGATAACGAGTTAAAAGTTCAAAGTGATTTAGAAAGAGAGTTATATTGACCATGATATAGTTTACTTTTAAACATGTAACAATTTGAACATTTTACATTTAATTGAGACAATTATTACCTTTTTACCATGATTTACATATCTCTTTTACTTGTATTCTGGGTGCCTGTTTTGGCCCCATTTGCACTTTTATTTTTATTGTTAAAAAGTTAATGTCTGATTAAATATAAAATGTTCAAAAAATTTAAGTTATTTTGGTTTTTGTTGTCAAAATGTAGAGGGTTTAGTTAAATACAAAATACAAAAAAACACACAAGTATTACAAAAAGTAGAAATTGTGTTTTGCTTTTGATAGAGTAAATTAGAAGTTGAAAAGTATATTTTTTTGAAAAATAATTTTGAGTTGTAGGAGAAAATTAATATTTTTAAATAAATATAATTATTTACTTTATGTTTCATTAATAAATAAATTTAATATTTTTTAAAATAAAGGTACAATATAAAATCATTATTAGTAATTTATTATCAATATTTACGTCTGCTCATAATCATTTAAAATAGTAATTAAATTAAAATGAATATTTTAAAAATAAACGGTTCCTTCTCTCTCAAAGAGCATGAGATGCTAAAACGAGACAGTGTTCAGTTGTTCGACAAAAGATAAACGGTTCCTTCCCTCTCAAATGCCCAAACCCGTTACTAGAACAGTAAACAAAGACGAGATAGAATGCAATGCAAATCAAAACTGTAAAACTTGCAGCGACTCTCGCCTCCATGGCTGAGCACTGCGTCTCCACGCAATCTCTCAAGCAAATCCATGCTCATGCAATCTGCACAGGCCTCCATGAACACCCAATTGTCTTGGGCAAGATTTTTCGCTTTGCTGCCGTATCACACGCCGGTGATTTACTTTATGCTCAAAGAGTGTTTGATCAAATTCCTCAACCAAATACTTTTTTCTATAATATTCTAATTCGTGGCTACTCCAGGAGTTTCTGGCCTTGTTTTTCGGTTCGTTTATTCAATCAGATGAGGCAAAACTGTATCGACCCAGATGGGTATACTTTCACCTTCTTGCTTAAAGCGCGGTCAAGGATGAAGATCAACTTACCTTTGATGACTGACTCAGACGAGATCCATGGCGCGGTAATCAAGTCCGGTTTTTGTTCCTATTTATATGTCCAGAATGGATTGATTCACTTGTATGCGGTGAAGGGGATTCCTCTAGCAGCACAGAGAGTGTTCGATGAGGCTGTGGAGGTGGATGTTGTCTCATGGTCTGGTTTGGTTGTGGCGTATACCAAGGCCGGAAAACTGAATCTAGCGAGATGGGTTTTTGATGAGATGCCGGAGAGAGATGTTGTTTCTTGGACTGCCATGGTTTCTGGGTACTCCCAGGCTAAACGTTCCAGGGAAGCATTAGAGTTGTTTAGGGAGATGAAGGATACAGGGATAAGACCAGATGAGGTCACCATGGTAAGTGTAATCTCTGCCTGTACTAATCTAGGTGATGTCGAGACAGGGATGGGTGTGCATCACTATATTGATGCAAATGGCCTTGGTTGGATGATTTCACTTTGCAATGCGTTGATTGACATGTATGCAAAATGCGGATGCATGGATAGATCATGGCAAATATTCAATAACATGACTAGGAAGAGCTTGATTACTTGGAACTCAATGATCTCAGCCTGTGCAAACCAAGGTAATCCAGAAGATACATATGCATTGTTTAAATATATGTTGAATTCTGGAGCTTTGCCAGACAGGGTTACATTTCTTGCTCTTTTAACTGCTTGTACTCACAAAGGATGGACAGAGGAGGGTTACAGATTGCTTGATAGCATGCAGAAAGAGCACGGTATGCAGCCAGGCGTCGAGCATTATGGATGCATGGTAGATATGTTAGGCAAAGCAGGGAGGCTAGAGGAGGCTTACAATTTGATCACTGGGATGCCAGTGCCTTATAACGATATTGTCTGGGGGGCTTTGCTTGCTGCTTGTAGAACTTATGGAGATGTAAACATGGGTGAGAGGATTGTCAAGAAACTGTTAGAGTTAAACCCAGATGAAGGAGGGTACTATATCCTCCTCCGAGATATTTATGTTGATGCTGGTCGAATGGGGAAAGCTAATGAAATGAGGCAATGCATGGAAGTTAGTGGAGTAAGAAAGACTCCTGGTTGCAGCTGGGTGGGAGCATGAAACATAAGAGAATTAACCTTAATTGTCAGCTCTTTCCTCCATAGGCATGATATTCATTCAGCAGCAGTCAAGACGATTCTATCATTTAAAATTTACAGCTTTTAAGTAGTCATTGTCTTGGTAAGTTGAAAGAGCAACAAACAGGATCTGAGACAGATTCATCAACTAGTTTTACTAGTGTCTTCTGGTTCTCTTCGGAAAGTTGCCATGCGTTGCTCTCAAGTTATTGCTACCATCTATTTAACATATCATTGGGAAGCACTACCACAACTTTAAGCAATTGGAGGCTTGGTATTCAGATGAACACTCCATCGCAAGATGAGGGTTGAGACTGAGACTGCATTTGTTGGAATTTCTAATATTTATTCCTTATGGATGACACAAAAAACAAGCTGCCGTCAAGGAATATCATACAGATTAATCTGGGTTTTATTTGGGGTGGCAGCTGGACTTATTGGCACAGCATTCGGGATCATTGGCAGAGCATGGAGAGCAAAATCACTGCACAGAAGGACCAACTAAGGCCGCCTATTGACAGACTCCAGCTAGGGAAATCTTTTACTACTCCAGACTTCTTTTTTCTATGAAACAATTTGAATCAGGTCAGGAACTTCCAGGTATTGTTTGCAATCTGAAATTAATTGCATGGAAAATGATTACCGCACAAAAATAATTAATAGTTTCTTAGCAATTTGTTTTGAATTGACAGTTTCTTAGCAATTTGTGATCGCTTTTTGTACACAAATAAAGAATACACACCTAAAAATGTGGCAAAACTTAGCCAGATTATATACCATCTATACCATCCTGTAGCTATACGAAAACTATAGTCGATTCATAAGATGCAGATTTTTTCTAGAACAGGAAAGATATAGATTAACAACAAAAACAGAGCAAATAAAATAGAGAGACTGCACAAAGACATGACATTAGTGTCATCAAAGACCCGAATGTTTGGGATTTTATTGACATACACACACATGCTTATTAATAACCAGCACAAACTTAAGTTTAGAACACTTAGAGACAGAAGTACCCAAAAGAACACATGCCACAACCCTTTATTTAGTAGCTACCAGTGAGGCATGAATTCCATTCACCGAGAACCTTTCAGTTTGATCACTCATCATCATAGTGTTTGTGGTGGTGATGGTGATGCTTGTGGCGCTGTTTCTTCTCATCATCATCAGAGTCATCATCTCCCTGAAAATCAATTCATTATCTAACACATGAATATCAAATCATTTATACCATAAAATGCTCCACACGTTCCTTATATACCAATTTTCATAACAAAGATAGTACTCATTCATCTTTACATCTCATAACACTTGAAATGATCAGAACTCACGACATATAAGGCACGTCGACAAAGAAAGTTCTTTCTGAATTATGGAGTCAACTGCAATTAATAACAAGTGAATGCCATCTCAACAAACTAGATACACATAGCTTTCAGCCACTACTATATTTACACAGTGATAAAAGGTTCAAAGTGCTTGTGAAGTTCTGGCCATTGAAGGAAAGATCAAAATACGAGTTCAAACCTCACACGGTAATACGTCAACCCAAAACACTCAAATAGAATCTAAGGACAGATTCTCTACATACTATTGGTACGTCTCTACGTACCAGAAGCACATTGAGCATACACATACCAGAGGCAATAATTCATGCAAACAGGAAGGGGTAAGCCAAAGTAACTGTTCTGGGTTTATATCAAGACGTTCCACTGAAAAAAAACTATAATGGCTCAAGCAGCAATTTCTGAATCGCAGGCATTATTAGTCTAACCCAGTTTGAGAAAATCAATACTCGGGCTCCTTTTCATTACAAAAGTGCCTATGGAAAAGTCAATAACTTAGAATAGACTTGCCGGTGTGCATACACAATTGAATCTTCATGAGCAATGACGAAATGGTGGAGCAATTGTGCAATTAAGATGAAGGAAAAAATTTTAATGTTTTGATGACAGCTTAATCAAACAGGCAATCAGAAATCCTTCTGCAAACATGGTAATGTAAAAATACTGCGACATATGAATGCAAACATAAGGATCAAAAAGGCATCGAACAGAAATTGAAAAGACCGAGTAATTATTTGCTTACATATTTCTTGCGGCCATAGCTCTCGCCATCACCACCATAACTGTACTTGCGGTTCTCATCATCATCATCATCATCATCATCACGCCTACCAGATGGCTTCCTATAGCCTTCTCCCTCTTCAGACCTCCCATAACTGGGCCTTCCATATTCATCCCCTCCTTCACTTTGCCTTCCATAGTCTGGCCTACCTCCATAACCCGGAGGAGGGTACTCAGGCCTATCTTCCTCCCCATAACTTGGCTTCCTGCCTCCATATCCAGACCCTTGGAACCCAGAGCCAGATTCAGTTTGGGTCCTCCCTTCATATCCATAGCCAGATTCCGATCCATATTGAGATTCAGTCCTCCCGCCATACCCGGATCCTTGGTACCCAGAGCCATATTCAGTTTGTGTCCTCCCTTCATATCCATAGCCAGATTCCGATCCATATTGAGATCCAGTCCTCCCGCCATACCCGGACTCGTACTCAGAATCAGTCCTCCTGCCATAACCAGATCCAATATCAGATCCGGGTTCCTTATACTCTGGCTTGCGCCCATATCCAGATTCATAGCTTGATTCGGACTCAGGCCTCCTGCCATAGCCACCAGAACCATAAGCAGGCTCCGATCCATGCTCGGGCCTGCCCCCATACTCCCCTCCTCCAGGAGCTCCACCACCAGGAGTGAAGCCATATGCAGGTCGGGGTTTGGGTCGGGCATAGCTACTGTACTCCGTCTGCAGGGCCTCATCGGCGTAAGCAGAGGGTTCGGCGTAGGAGGAGAACACTGGGCGTTCGTAGTCGAAAGGATCATCAGCCGACGCAGAGTGGCGGTGACATATCTCCTCAGACGGCTCGAGAGGGCGACCATATGTTAGCGCTATGTCATAGCCTCCTCCATACGGCGTAGGATCGTACGCGTCGAAATCGTCGACATCATCTTCATTTCTCGTGTAGTACGGCATCGTCGCAGGCACAAGGAATTATCTGGTCTGGTTTCTGGGATCTCGTAAATGGCTATTTGGATGGACTTTTTAGTCGATGATAATTCTGGGAAAGTAGTAGACGTCGCCGTTTCGATGACATTGTGACGAACAAAACGCCGCGTTTTACTCGTAAAGCAGCAACGCATTATCATGATTTAAAAAATGAAGGCAATTTTATCCATGTAAAAGATGGATTATTTGCATTGTGATATGAATAATAAATTGTGCAATTTTTTTTTTATCGATTTAAATATTTTGAAGTAATTAATCATAATTAGTTATTTCATATGCTATTAGAGTAAATTACCAACAATTTTGTTCCTAACCATATGTGTGCTTAATGGAGTAAATTTAGAGATAAAGTAGTGTATCATTTGATATTTATATATAAAGAATTTTTCATACTATATATTATAATATAAATAAGATTTTGATCCCTTTATATTTTCTTTAATTTTTTTTTAGATACGATGTTGCAATCAATAATTTCACAATTTTAAAGGTATAAAATAAAAAATAATTTATAATTAATGTAGTAAATATCGATCATAATAAATAGGAAGATATTAAATTTTATCTTAATGACTTGGCTTAATATTAAATTTATCAATTTACGGATTAAGCAAATAAAACCATATTAAGACTTGTTGTTAGTAACTCTTTTTTGGGTTCAAAATGAAGGAAATTTTGAATGAAAATTAATACCATTGTATAACAAAAGCAATATTGTCTTAAAATGTATTTAAAATAATAGAATGCTTTAAACTATACAAAATAAATATCTTATTTATAGAGGAGGTAGTGAAAGAACTCTATGGAACCCTTAATTTTTTGCTCTTTCTTTAGCTTCAAACATTGATAATTTTATTTATTTATATCACATATATTAAATAATTTTATAAAGGATATTAAGTTTAGATGATTACTTACCTCGACTATTTTGCATGTTACATGTTATCAAATTTATTCTATAAAAAAGAGTTTAGTGAGAAGAAATTGATGTTTCTTTCTTCCTCTTCTCTTTTTTTTTTTTTGTGTTTCAAATATTAATTATTTTAATGTAAATAGATAATTTTATAATATGAGTCGTATCTATTCTATATATTAATTAAATGATATAGGTTAATGAACAAATTCTTTTTAGAAAAAAATGAGTGTAAATATAAGCAATTATTTTTATTATTAAGCTAACCTTGAGCATAAAATTATATTTTATTATATTCTATTTGAAATATGTATTCTAATTTTTTTTTGAAATATAAATCTATTATTTCATAATTTATTATAGTTGACATAGTCATTTATATATTTTATTTAGTAAACTGACGA